CTCACACACTCACTCACACTCACTCACTCACACACACACTCACACTCTCTCTGTCTCTCTCACACACGCACTCTCTGTCTCTCTCGCACGCACTCTCTCTGTCTCTCTCGCACACACGCACACACTCTCTGTCTCTCTCGCACGCACTCTCTCTGTCTCTCTCGCACGCACTCTCTCTGTCTCTCTCGCACGCACTCTCTCTGTCTCTCTCGCACGCACTCTCTCTGTCTCTCTCGCACGCACTCTCTCTGTCTCTCTCGCACGCACTCTCTCTGTCTCTCTCGCACGCACTCTCTCTGTCTCTCTCGCACGCACTCTCTCTGTCTCTCTCGCACACACGCACACACTCTCTGTCTCTCACACACACACACTCACTTACTTAAATACACTCGTGCACACACTCTCTTTCTCTTTAAACACACACACACACACACTTAAATACACTCGCTCACACACACACTTAAATACACTCGCTCACACACACACACACACACACTTAAATACACACACACACACACACTTAAATACACACACACACACTTAAATACACTCGCACATACACACACTTAAATACACTCGCTCGCGCACACACACTTAAACACACTCGCTCACACACACACACACACTTAAACACACTCACATACACACACTCGCTCACTCTCTCTCTCACTCACTCTCTCACACACACACACACACTTAAATACACTCACACACACTTAAACACACTCACACACACTTAAACTCACTCACTCACACACTAAACAAAATAATGTGTATTAAATACACTCGCGCGCACACACACACACTTAAATACACTCGCGCACACACACTTAAATACACTCGCGCACACACTTAAATACACTCGCGCACACACTTAAATACACTCGCGCACACACTTAAATACACTCGCGCACACACTTAAATACACTCGCGCACACACTTAAATACACTCGCGCACACACTTAAATACACTCGCGCACACACTTAAATACACTCGCGCACACACTTAAATACACTCGCGCACACACTTAAATACACTCGCGCACACACTTAAATACACTCGCGCACACACTTAAATACACTCGCGCACACACTTAAATACACTCGCTCACACTCGCGCACACACTTAAATAAACTCGCTCACACACACACACACTTAAATACACTCGCTCACACACACACACACACACACTCACTTAAATACACTCGCGCACACACTTAAATACACTCGCGCACACACTTAAATACACTCGCGCACACACTTAAATACACTCGCGCACACACTTAAATACACTCGCGCACACACTTAAATACACTCGCGCACACACTTAAATACACTCGCGCACACACTTAAATACACTCGCGCACACACTTAAATACACTCGCGCACACACTTAAATACACTCGCGCACACACTTAAATACACTCGCGCACACACTTAAATACACTCGCGCACACACTTAAATACACTCGCGCACACACTTAAATACACTCGCGCACACACTTAAATACACTCGCGCACACACTTAAATACACTCGCGCACACACTTAAATACACTCGCGCACACACTTAAATACACTCGCGCACACACTTAAATACACTCGCGCACACACTTAAATACACTCGCGCACACACTTAAATACACTCGCGCACACACTTAAATACACTCGCGCACACACTTAAATACACTCGCGCACACACTTAAATACACTCGCGCACACACTTAAATACACTCGCGCACACACTTAAATACACTCGCGCACACACTTAAATACACTCGCGCACACACTTAAATACACTCGCGCACACACTTAAATACACTCGCGCACACACTTAAATACACTCGCGCACACACTTAAATACACTCGCGCACACACTTAAATACACTCGCGCACACACTTAAATACACTCGCGCACACACTTAAATACACTCGCGCACACACTTAAATACACTCGCGCACACACTTAAATACACTCGCGCACACACTTAAATACACTCGCGCACACACTTAAATACACTCGCGCACACACTTAAATACACTCGCGCACACACTTAAATACACTCGCGCACACACTTAAATACACTCGCGCACACACTTAAATACACTCGCGCACACACTTAAATACACTCGCGCACACACTTAAATACACTCGCGCACACACTTAAATACACTCGCGCACACACTTAAATACACTCGCGCACACACTTAAATACACTCGCGCACACACTTAAATACACTCGCGCACACACTTAAATACACTCGCGCACACACTTAAATACACTCGCGCACACACTTAAATACACTCGCGCACACACTTAAATACACTCGCGCACACACTTAAATACACTCGCGCACACACTTAAATACACTCGCGCACACACTTAAATACACTCGCGCACACACTTAAATACACTCGCTCACACACTTAAATACACTCGCTCACACTCGCGCACACACTTAAATAAACTCGCTCACACACACACACACTTAAATACACTCGCTCACACACACACACACACACTTAAATACACACACACACATAAATACACTCACACACACACACACTTAAATACACTCGCACATACACACACTTAAATACACTCGCTCGCGCACACACACTTAAACACACTCGCTCACACACACACAAACACATTCGCTCACACACACACACACTTAAATACACACACACACACACACTTAAATACACACACACACACTTAAATACACTCGCACATACACACACTTAAATACACTCGCTCGCGCACACACACTTAAACACACTCGCTCACACACACACAAACACATTCGCTCACACACACACACACTTAAATACACACACACACACTTAAATACACTCGCACATACACACACTTAAATACACTCGCTCGCGCACACACACTTAAACACACTCGCTCACACACACACACACACTTAAACACACTCACATACACACACTCGCTCACTCTCTCTCTCACTCACTCTCTCACACACACACACACACTTAAATACACTCACACACACTTAAACACACTCACACACACTTAAACTCACTCACTCACACACTAAACAAAATAATGTGTAATTTACTAGAGGCTGTGACAAAATAATAATTGCTGCATTTAAAAGTGTTTGATTAATTTGAATGAATTATCAAAAATGTGAATATATAATATATATTTAAAATATATTCGATTTAATAAACCAATTTTTAATATTAAAATTGTGAAAAATGGGTTTGAATGAATGATTCGATCATGACACAAACATTATTTGAAGCACCAATTACTTTCAGAAGGTGATTTGTTCTATTTTGATCGCTATCATTGAGATCAATGTTTATATCCAAACTAAATTTAAAGAAAGTGTTCCAGTAGGGCTTTTTCAAAGGTTTAATAGACGCAGGCGAATTGTTGTCATTTAGAGATGAGATTGTTGGTTAGAGATGAGATTGCTGGTTAGAGATGAGATGAAAGTCAGTGAGGTCTACTGTTGATTGGGTGAACTGTCCCTTTAAATATATCTATAAAACGTGCTACTAATCTGCTTAAATCATCTCGCCCATTATTGTTCACCAGTGCATTTATTCAGCTACTCACTAATTGAGCGAACATTTTATCATCACTGATGCTGGTTAAAGGGTTAGTTCCCCCAAAAATGAAAATTAGGCTGTGTTTTACTCACCCCCGAGGCATCCTAGGTGTATATGACTTTCTTCTTTCAGACGAATCCAGTCGGAGTTATATTAAATATTGTCCTGGCTATTCCAAGCTCTATCATTGCAGTCAGCGGGTGTTGCTGTGCTTCAGTCCAAAATAAGTGAAATAAAAAGCGCCCATGCATAAAAAAAAAAGTGTCTCACACGGCTCCGGGGGGTGAACAAAGGCCTCCTGTATTGAATCGATGCATTTTTGTAAGAAAAATATCCATATTCAAAATGTAATAATCACTTCAATCTAGCTTGCGCTCACTGTTGTACACGGAAGCAGTTCCGGGGGAATTACGT